TATTCTGATTCGTAGTTAAAATCTAGGTCTTTGAGGAGTAAAGCAGTTCAAATTAGATTTACAATGGTTGATGATAGGTAAGCTCTGTCAGTAAAACTGGAGGTTACACTGCAGTAGAACTGCTGCCTTGGGAACTAAACAGGTTGTCATGTGATGATATGTATATGTCTGTGGTGTTAAATTTACTGCAGTCCTAATGTACATTACAGGCAATGATATCAGAACACAAATAGGCCCTTCATTACTATCAAATTACATGTTCCATGATTCTATGTCAACATTGTGTTAGCAAATGCTTTCTTCATCATTAAAATTTGGCAAGTGTTGGAGACCTATCCCACAAAAAACACAACTGTCCAATGGCTGCCAAACAACCTGCAGCTCAGTGAGTCTGGCTAGAGTTTTAAAGATTCATAGTTGTATACTTATAGGGCTCTGAGTCCATGGATTTAAGCCTAGAGTTCGGAGGTCATAGGTTCATGCCTAGAGTTCAGAGGTCATAAGTTCTTGTCTAGAGTTCGGAGGTCATAAGTTCTCACCTAGAATTTGGATATTATGAATTGATACTAGAGTTTGGATGTTGTGTGAACTTGCCTGAAGTTTGGAAGTCATAAGGTTCAACCTCTTGTTGTCAAGTACAAAAACAAGAAAATTATCTCAGGAAGTTGACACTTTATGCCTGAATTGATTATTCATATATCCACAGCAAAACATAAACATCAAAAGGCTGGATGTCAAATTTCAGGTTCATAATTTAGTGGCCCTATATTAATTAGTTTGTCCATCTGGTTGTCTGTCTGTCCGTCTTTTTTTGGCCCAATATCTCAAGTTTTGTGAGGCAGTTTCACTTATTACTTACTATATCAGATGCCTCTTCAAAGGAAGTGCCGGCATAGAAGTGAATTTTGGGTCCACAGGTCAAAGATCTAGGTCACAGTTACTATAAATAGTGTTTTGCAAAATATCTTCAGAACTGTTTTTGATTACACTCCAACCAATTACTTCTACTCAGAAAGTGCTTGCTCTCAATTGCTTTCATGTTCAGAGGTCAAAGATCTTGATGAAATATTTTACTGAGAAATTTGTTGTTATGACATAATAAAATGAGAAGTTGTTCAAGTACATGTCATGGTCACAAGGCCAAGGGCAAAGGTCAAATTTAGAAATATTTATTTGTATTTCACAAGCACAGATTATTGTGTTCTAATTCAGTAAACAAAATTTCAAAATCAATATATAACACTCAGCTTTAGAGTCTGACACAATGCAGAGCCCTTCCTGTTCTGAGCTTTAGCTTGACATTTCTTTGGTATAGAATAGAATGTTTGGATCATTTATGACAGGCATGATGGACTGGGACCTGGCTGAATCGATCACTCTTCCATATACACTGGGTTTAATGCCTTAAGGGAGGTAAAGAAAAGGCTAAAATTCATCCCTTTCACTACATTCAGAAATTCATCCCTTTCATCATACTCAGAAATTCATCCCTTTCATCATACTCAGAAATTCATCCCTTTTGCCTTACTCAGAAATTCATCCCTTTCACCACATTCAGAAATTCATCCCTTTCACCACATTCAGAAATTCATCCCTTTCACCATACTCAGAAATTCATCCCTTTTGCCTTACTCAGAAATTCATTCCTTTCACCACAGTATAAGTGGTTTACATATCACAGAAATCTTCGACAGTAGTGGAATTTCTGCCATGACAATTTTATATAGCATTTTGAAAAAAGTGGCCGAAATCTTCCAGTGTGACTGAATCTTTTAACTAGTAGGTTCTACTGGTTTGATCCTGGTTGCCATGCAGGAAATGTCATATATAATTAGATTGCTAGCATTCATATCTAAAAATCAATAAAATGGAAAACATGCAGTTGGAAACAAGAGTTAAAAAGAAAATTCTGTGTCAGTATGATGTTTTGTTGTTTTCCTATCTTTGTAATTTCCAACAGATATGTAAAATACTGCAGTTTTTATACTGTTTGTACTAACTTTTTTGTTGGTGGTAATTGAATTGAATTTCCCTTGTACTGTTGAATTGGAAGTTAAAAAAAATTCTTACATTAACGTGATGAAATGACGGAAAAACATACAACTTTAGTTTTAAATGAAGAAAGTGCTTGGATAGATAATATAAGGAAATGTTGTATTATTAACTTAGTGCCTACAAACTTTTCAAAATATGAGCTGGCTCTTGGGAGCATGCATAGAAAAATTACTAAGATTGTAAATTCAGCTTTTGGCTTGGCCAGACTCTATTGGCTTTGATCAGAATGAATCTCTGTATTTTGCAGCAAGACCTTGAAAAGCGTTTGATTTACTTTTGTCCTTGTTGTATCCAGTGGTCGGTAACCTTGAAAACTACATGAAAACGCCATTTAGTATTCCATATCATTAATTACTTAGAGAAATGCATCTCTTACATAATTCCTAAATTTGAAGATGAAATAACACTGATATGAAGTATAATTAGACATTCAGTAGAAAGAACGCTCTGTATGTCAGTATAACTATTGGTAGAGCTTGGAGACTCAATGTCCATGCTAACACTTGTATTAATAAGAGTAAATACAGATATGCACTCCAAAAGGGACAAAACATTTTTAATCATTAAAACCAGTGAAAGTTTTCCTTATTTGGCTTGGGATCTCTGTTACAATTTCACAGCCAAAATTTGAAGGGAGGGAACACTATCATTCAGGGACTGTTAAAAGGCAAATGATGGACTTTGTCAGAATATGAAGACCTGTTGAGAATCAGCAAATTAATTGGCATCAAAACACACAGAAAGTGTAAAACATCAGATATTGTAGAAACCTTAATGTGGATTTATATATTAGCTGGTAATGTTTTTCAACTGTTTTATGACTCCCAAGAACACATGAATATATTTCTATCATACTTTTAAAGTTCAAATGTAACCACCCTACTGTGGGAATTTTTACCAAGCTGATAATATGTTTCCCCACTGTTAAAAGTACATGACCTTGAGAAAGGTCTTTTTCGACCTCTACAAAAAGTTCTTGAAAGAAGTTGCCTAGTAATAAAGGTTTGAAAAAGGTTGTGGCATGAATTTTTGGCTTCCACCAGATACTTGCTTATGTTTGATAGGCTGCTGTTCAATAGCTGAGGGAAACTTTAGGTATGAGGGATACTTGTAGCTGTTGTTCATTATCAGAGGGAAGCTTGGGGTTTGAGGGATGTTTGGTAGGTTTTGGGAGTCAGAAGGCAGCTTTAAGTGTCAGGAATGTGTGGTAGCTGTTTTTAGGGCTAGAGGGAAGGTTGAGGAGTGAGGGATGTTTGGTAGCTGTTTTTAGGGCCAGAGGGAAGCTTGAGGAGTGAGGGATGTTTGGTAGCTGTTTTTAGGGCCAGAGGGAAGCTTGAGGAGTGAGGGATGTTTGGTAGCTGTTTTTAGGGCCAGAGGGAAGCTTGAGGAGTGAGGGATGTTTGGTAGCTGTTTTTAGGGCCAGAGGGAAGCTTGAGGAGTGAGGGATGTTTGGTAGCTGTTTTTAGGGCCAGAGGGAAGCTTGAGGAGTGAGGGATGTTTGGTAGCTGTTTTTAGGGTCACAGGGAAGCTTGAGGAGTGAGGGATGTTTGGTAGCTGTTTTTAGGGCCAGAGGGAAGCTTGAGGAGTGAGGGATGTTTGGTAGCTGTTTTTAGGGTCACAGGGAAGCTTGAGGAGTGAGGGATGTTTGGTAGCTGTTTTTAGGGCCAGAGGGAAGCTTGAGGAGTGAGGTATGTTTGGTAGCTGTTTTTAGGGTCACAGGGAAGCTTGAGGAGTGAGGGATAGTTTGTGTGGTATATATATGTTATGTTGTTCTGTTGGGTGGCATCTGATTTGAGCTTTAGGTATATAAACTTTGAAGGAGTCAGCGTCATGATCAAACAAATGCTAGAGGGTTTATTACAATCATTTGGCCGTATTTCAATTTCTTAACTAACAATTTTCTGTCAATACCTTTGTTGTTCTAGACTTGAGTTGTGTTTTACATGTGTAAGGCGAAGGTTTGTTAATCAAGGGTGTGTTGTAAATATAACTTGTCAGACTTCAAATAAAACAACAGATGTGTTTCTGCTAGAAATGGTTGTTCATTTAACTTCCAATTAAAATGGTTTTGTACCTGTCAGTGTCATGAAATCCTCTTGATGAGTTTCATGAAAATTGATGATGAAATTTGCATGTAAACCAATACATAGGATCCATATCTGGTATTCCGTCAAAATTTTCAGGTTATAGAAAAGAATAAAGATTTCAGAGCTCATTTTATTTTTAGTTAAAGTAGTTGTGTACCTGTACGTGTCTTTATAGATTTGAAAATTGATGATGAAATTTTGTATGCAAGCCAATACATCAGATTCATGTTTGGTATTCTGTCAAAATTTTCAGGTCAGATAAGATTTTAGAGCTCATCGGATAAAGGTCAAAGGTCACCCTTGACCACTTTTGAAATGAAAAGCTTGTTTCCGAAATGTCTTGTGAATCCTTTAATACATTAATTCCGTAATAGGTTTAGATTAGGAGGGTGGGGGGTGTAACAAGTTATGTCTTATTATCAAACAACCATGTTCTTAAGATTTAACTCGAATTTGTTCCTACATTTTTTGGTAGACTTTTTTTAAACAAGTATGGTATTTTGTTAACATGGTCAAAGGATTGACCATTCATTCAAACTTCATTTAGCGGTAGATAGAGTAAAGCCCAATAATGGAGAAAATGAAGAAAAACAGCATGATATCAAAGCATTCCATCCCAGCCTCCAGAACCTGCCACTGATGGCAGGCACCTGCAAGGGGCAACAGAAGAAAAGAATTGAAATTGTATCAGATTCCAGATAACACAAACTCCATGACACAATAAATCTCCAAATTTTTAATGTTAAATATCATTTCAAAAGACTGACCAGAACGTTGGTATATTCTGACACTATGCCACTTTCCAACTATGTTGAATTATCCATGTTATGACACTAATGGAAATATTTTATTTTGCAGTTGATATTTTCTGGAGAATATACGAAAGCTATGGAGCAAAACTACCATAAAGATCACCTGGCTTGCCATAACTGTGATAAGAAGCTAGTTGCCTGTCGCTACATCCTCAAGGAGGAAAACCCTTACTGCATCCCTTGCTACCAGGAGCAGTTCGCTCACAACTGTGAGGAGTGCAAGAAACCAATTGGTCCTGACTACAAGGTCAGTTAGATAGGCTATCCTCTGGTAATTCATGAAGGTGTTAGTGGTTTGATATCATAGAAGCTCTTGAAAGTCAGCAAAACAAAATTTTTTGGAAGTTGATATAGTAGAAATGTAGTAGATAGCTATTATACAGATGAGTTTTTCTACCCGTCCTTACTGTAGTTTATGCTGTCAGGGTTGTTTTACCCATATCATGGAAAAACCATGGATGCATGAAGGTAACAAAGGATTAAAGGACGAATGTTTTCTTGATTAACTCATCTTTATAAAACTTCAAGAAATAGTTGATAATTTACTTGGAACCTCCCCCATTAGATACACTTTATATGTGTAATAGGGAATTTTATGATTAGTTAAGAAAATTATTATTATATATCCTGGTCAGAATGGGATCAGTAAGAAGTATTAAATGTGTAACAAAATCCTCGATCTTGAAATCAGAAACAAATTAGAGGTCAAACTAGGAAGGATCAAAATAAGTCAGGGAGAAGTGCTTATGCTTGAAGGTCGAGAGGACCCAGCGCCTTTTCATGTATGTAAACAAAATTAAATGCTTATTTCACGGATTTTGGAAACAGCATCTTCGTCACTGATTTTCTATTTATTGCTGGCCCCCTGCCAAGTTTCTGTCTGAGGCATAATGCCGCACATTCTGTAAAAAACAAATACAGCATTTCATGTGTAAGTTAAGATAATTAAATAAATATGTTTAGAGAAATACTGGAAATTGAACATGTCTGACTAGTCCTACTGTAGTAAAGTATTGCGATACACTATCATCTCTAGACCTGAGGCAGATATTTCCCATCATAGGTCTGACGTTTTATCTTTCCAGCTTCATGTTGTTTTCTCCTTCAATGAGGTAAATGCTCCCAGATCTAACGGCACAAAGGATAAAAATGATTGTTATCAATCAGTATTTTTGTAAGAAACATGGATAACATGCAGCCTTCAGGTTGTTTATGTTGTTTCTAAAACATCTGACCATATTAGGGCAGTTGGTGTTTGTAGCACTCTTCATCAGATAGATGGACTTTTTATCAGTGTTTAAATGGTGTAGACAAATATAACTGCACTTTCAGTATAATATACACTCTAGCTGTGACAGTTAAAGCTGCAAAGTGGTTCTGTCAGCATTACTTCTTCACAAACCAATGTGTCCTGGCTTCAAAAGTTCATCAGTAGACAAAATTTCATCAGTAACAAATTAAAGCTCCACTGTACACATAAAACAAAGTGTCCAGACTAACAAGGTTCTACTGTATACATAAACCAAAGTGTCCACACTAACAAGGTTCTACTGTACACACAAACCAGAGTGTCCATACTAACAAGGTTCTACTGTACACACAAACCAGAGTGTCCATACTAACAAGGTTCTCCTGTATACACAAACCAAAGTATCTAGACTAACAAGGTTCTACTGTACACACAAACCAAAGTGTCCAAACTAACAAGGTTCTACAAATAAAAATGTCCAGACTAACAAGGTTTTACTGTATACACAAACCAAATTGTCCGCACTAACAAGGTTCTACTGTACACACAAACCAAAGTGTCCGCACTAACAAGGTTCTACTGTACACACAAACCAAAGTGTCCGCACTAACAAGGTTCTACTGTACACACAAACCAAAGTGTCTAGATTAACAAGGTTCTACTGTACACAAAAACCAAAGTGTCCACACTAACAAGGTTCTACTGTACACACAAACCAAAGTGTCTAGACTAACAAGGTTCTACTGTACACACAAACCAAAGTGTCTAGATTAACAAGGTTCTACTGTACACAAAAACCAAAGTGTCCACACTAACAAGGTTCTACTGTACACACAAACCAAAGTGTCCACACTAACAAGGTTCTACTGTACACACAAACCAAAGTGTCTAGACTAACAAGGTTCTACTGTACACACAAACCAAAGTGTACAGACTAACAAGGTTCCACTGTACACACAAACCAAAGTGTCCAGACTAACAAGGTTCTACTGTATACATAAACCAAAGTGTCCACACTAACAAGGTTCTACTGTACACACAAACCAAAGTGTCCGCACTAACAAGGTTCTACTGTACACATAAACCAAAGTGTACAGACTAACAAGGTTCTACTGTACACACAAACCAAAGTGTACAGACTAACAAGGTTCTACTGTATACACAAACCAAAGTGTCCAGAATAACAAGGTTCTACTGTACACATAAACCAAAGTATAGAGACTAACAAGGTTCTACTGTACACACAAACCAAAGTGTCCAGACTAACAAGGTTCTACTGTACACACAAACCAAAGTGTCCGCACTAACAAGGTTCTACTGTACACACAAACCAAAGTGTCCAGAATAACAAGGTTCTACTGTACACACAAACCAAAGTGTCCAAACTAACAAGGTTCTACAAATAAAAATGTCCAGACTAACAAGGTTCTACTGTACACACAAACCAAAGTGTCCGCACTAACAAGGTTCTACTGTACACACAAACCAAAGTGTCTAGATTAACAAGGTTCTACTGTACACACAAACCAAAGTGTCCAGACTAACAAGGTTCTACTGTACACACAAACCAAGCTGTCTAGACTAACAAGGTTCTGCTGTACACACAAACCAACTTGTCCGCAAGTGTCTTAGTCAAATTATATAGGCTCCCTTTTATACTTTGTTGTGTTCTTTCGATTTTTGCAACTGCAGGATCAGAAATTAAGCAAACTGGCTGATAGGTGGTTATCTAGGATTTGACAGTTTGTTACAGTTTTGTTTCTAGAAAAGGACTGGATGGATTTCTCCCATATTTCACATGTAGATTCCTTAGTCTCTAGTTGTGTTTTTTTTTTTTTTTTTTTTTGAGGTTGATCAGGAAAAACAGTTGCTGACATGCAGCTTAGTTTTAATTTGACATGTAATGATTATTGTTTGCTGGTTCTTAAAAGGAATTTCCAAATTTCATAAGTTAAGAGCAAGTTAAAGGAAAACAGTGAAAAGATCCAGTTTTGAAAGGATGAGTGAAAATCAAACCATGGTGGGTGCCAATTAATATATGTTTCCGATTACATGTTCTAGTAATGCTAAATAGTGGAAACCAATCAAGATCTGTTTCAGATCCCTTCTTCTAGTAATGCTGAATGGTGGTTACCAATCAAGATCTGTTTCAGATTCCTTCTTCTAGTAATGCTAAATAGTGGAAACCAATCAAGATCTGTTTCAGATCCCTTCTTCTAGTAATGCTAAATAGTGGAAACCAATCAAGATCTGTTTCAGATCCCTTGTTCTAGTAATGCTTAATGGTGGGCACCAATCAAGATCTGTTTCAGATCCCTTGTTCTAGTAATGCTGAATGGTGGAAACCAATCAAGATCTGTTTCAGATCCCTTGTTCTAGTAATGCTGAATGGTGGGCACCAATCAAGATGTGTTTCAGATCCCTTGTTCTAGTAATGCTGAATGGTGGAAATCAATCAAGATCTGTTTCAGATCCCTTGTTCTAGTAATGCTGAATGGTGGAAATCAATCAAGATCTGTTTCAGATCCCTTGTTCTAGTAATGCAGAATGGTGGAAACCAATCAAGATCTGTCTCAGATCTCATGTTCTGATATTGCTGAATGGTTATTGCCGTTTGTTTCATGTGGCAGGCTCTCCTTGTTGACTGTTTGTTCTTTATGAAAACTCATTATCTGGACAAAATTATCTCCCTATATTATAACACACAGAGGGAGAAAGGCTCAAATTTTGACATACCCAACAATAAACAGATGTATGGTCATTCGATTATGGTGCTAAAACGGTGCTGTATTGTAATGATGGCAGCACCTTACAGGAAAGTTTTTCTTCTGACCTTTCCTTGATCATCTACTGATTGCCAACGCAATCACGTCACTACAGCTGTTCAATAACAAGGTCTGTTAGGCTCTTTGTCAGTTAGGTTGAGTTAAAAAAAAAGTCCAGGCACTGATGCCAGATTGTCTTCCAGCCGAGTTTTGTGACGTCAAACCAAGTTCTGGTTTCCTTACAAATATAGCTTGATATCTGGCCATCTTATTAATATCATAAGATAAACTGAAGTTGCAAACAGATTTCCCAATGGACTCAAGCTCTCAGATGAATTGGATGATAAAGTCACACTCACAATTATGTTTGACAGTGGTGAAGACATTCATGTTTTTGCACTGATGAAACTGATAGAAGTACCACACCGTACACTTTCTCATAGATGTAATTTGAAATTATTAGGAATATGCTTAAGCCTGTTTTCATTGGAAATTCTTGTTTTATAATCCATCATATATTTTGATGTGTTTTCTTGGTATATCATAAAGATGATAGATGGGTTGTCACAATCAGCATGTTTAACTTCTTTGTGTCTGTAGTATGTAGTTCAGATTGCCTGTCTGTGTAGATTATCTGTTCTTACAACTGGTAAAAAGTACTAAATGTCACATGATTTGATGTCTTCACAAGTGATGTTGAAAAGAATCTTTCCACCCAGCTTGTTTCTCCTGGTTACATTGCAGCTGAGTCTGGGTTCATCCCTGGGACGTCTGAAGACTAAGTAGGTCACTGGGAGGTTTACTGTTGTATTGGTCAATATTTAGGTCACAAATATAGCTGCATGTAGTCATGGTCTGTTGAATGAGATCCAGTTCTCCAGTAGTACTACTGACCAGTCACATCAGTATCAACCACAGGTCAATAGAAATGGAGGGAGGACAGCTGACTAACACTGTAACACTGTTGACCCAATAATGAATGTCTGGTTAAGTTTGTTGGAGTGTGTTTTGGAGATGTGGAATTTGGCAAGTGACTTGAACAGGTATTGGAGGCTGTGTTCTTTGTTGATAGACAATGTATTGTTGTAATATCAACAATAACCGTTCAAGCCAATAAACATGTTTATATATAATGGAAGATGGAGGTCAGTTTGAGGTAAAACACTGTTTTGACCTTAATAGCTTCATGCTGGTCAGTGGCATTGTTTCATGCTGGTCAGTGGCATTGTTTCA